ACTTCAAAGAGAAACAGCAGAACTAAAATTCATTTGCAAATTTAACATCATTAATCTGGGCTTGAATAGGGACTGGGAGTGGCTGGCTCATTACAGAAGCAGCTTTTCCTCCCCTGGAATTGACACCTCCTCATCTATTATTGGGAGTGGACTACATCCACCCTGATTGAATTAGCCCTGTCAACACTGGTTCTCCACTTGCGAAGTAACTCCCTGCTCTCCATGTGTCAGTATATAATGCCTGCATCTGTAACTTTCACTCTATGCATCTGAAGAAGTGAGGTTTTTACCCACGAAAGCTTATGCCCAAATAAGTCTTTAAGGTGCCACCAGACTCCTTGTTCTTTTTGTAGATACAGACTAACATGGCTACCCCCTGATACTAGACCTAGCAGCACATGCAGATATCTTTGAAAATCTATTACTTTAGTTAATTCTAGATTTAGAAACCAGTTTTGCTTACTGATTAATTTATTTCTGGGTATATTACCAAGTCTCTTGCCATTTAAGCTAGTTATAACTCATCTCCCTCAATGAGGCTTGGGAGGATTAGATTTTTATGAGTAAAATGTTGGTAAATGTCGATTTTACCATTCACCCAAACCAACAAAAACATATTTCCATCGATGATAACCGAAATTTACAGACAGGCAAAGAAAGAAACTTTGAGAACTTATTTGAATTGAAAGGATATTTGCTTTCTATATTTTGATATGTGATGTTGAAAATTTGTGTTTTAACCATTATAAACAAAATCTCAACATCTACTGTAATTAAATAATTACTGTGTGATTCCCCCTTGTTGACTTCCATAATTTCCCAAAACTGTGAAAATTCAAATCAATAACAATTGAAAAAATATTTAAAAATAAACATCATCATCTATTAAAGTGATAAAAAAATAAAAATGCAATTCTGCCCAACCTACCCATAATATATATATTTTATACTACAAGGTCAGATGCATCTGTTGTCAGGTTACCTTTTCCCCCCTGCCCATTATTACTTTGTAATGGAATCTTTACGGCAGGAGGAATTACAAAATTATCAAAACTGAACAGAACATGGAAGACTGAACTGGTGAACAGAACTGATAAAAAATGAAGAGAACAGCATAACAACAAACTGAGTTCCAAAGACATGACAGCTAGGCTTAGTAATTATTTCTTGCCAGGAGTTTGATTTTTTCCTAGTAAAAAATATACTGCAAGTAGGAGACACGTCAAAACCACCCAGAGCAAGACATAATTATTTTACAAAAAATGTACTGTACTCCAAATCAGTTTTTAAAAAGAGAGTGTTATTTTTACAACTGAAAATAAATATGGGTTATTGATATCACGTTTTAAATGTTGTGATCATAGGTCTCAAAAGTTTCAAAGTAGTTTATTCAAACAGATTCTTTGCATGTTTAAGTCAATTTAGCAATTATGTACAAAGTTACCACTTTCATATAAATGTATCTGAATTTGTAGAAAATATTAAAAATGCTTATTCAAAGAAAAACCATTAAAATTACAAGTTATTATTTTGTGTTTGTATTTTATTATTATTTTAGTTTCTAAGTTTCCAAAATTCAAAACTGCTTTCTTAACCTCTTCCTCTGTTGGTTTTTTAATGTTTTCTGTTGCTAATGTCAACTGTTTCAATCAAATTCTGAATGATGCTAATAATGCATGAATGCTCTCACCCTGAGGAAAAGGGATATAATGAACAATTGTCAATAAAAGATTGGACAGTATACAGAGGAATCCACTTATAGTGAATTCTGATATAGGAAAACTTAAATCTGTTTTTTTTTTTTTAAAGTCCTATATTAAACTACGAATACAACCAAATATAAGGACCCAACTACATCATGGCTATCCCAAAATATGGTTAAAGCACAGTAACATTTTGTATAGTAAACAGCTCAGGGAAAAGGTTAAGGTCCAATATATTGCAAAAAACTGAGTCATGCCTTAATCATCTCTCTGAACACAGTTTATTTTAGCACAGACAAAATCTGATGAGTATGACAAAGGACAAATTACAATCCCCACTTTAACGACTATCTGTTTATCATGCATTTTCTGTGACTGCTTATAAGATGGTTCTGCTGTGCTTTGTTACTGTTTCAATAAAAAAATAATAATTTGTAAACAGTGGGGGAAATAAAACATTTTTTCCTAAATATAATTTTATATTAAAAAAATCTTACTGTTATTTGACTCAGTCCAGCCAACCTCATTGTTAAAGTTGGAGACATAAAGTACTTAAACGCAAGATCAAGACTTTCTTTATCAAAACACAAGGCTGTATCCAATGGCTCTTTAACTGTACTCCACATTAAATCTGCCATGTTCCGGGCTGCACTCTGTCGCAACTCTTGGTCTGACAGTTTACATAAATACCTAAAATAAATTATATAAAAAGAAGAAAGAAGAAATATGACATGATTCCAAATAAAACGTATATGAAATAATGGTCCAGCATAATTATTTCAAATATATATTTCTAGCAGTCTTTATGATAACAGTATTAATCCTAAAAATACATTAATATTAATATAATATAGTTGCAATGGGCAATCTATAACTTAGTAAATCAAATAATAGATAAAAAGAAGAAAAAAGAAACAGAGTTGTATAGAATGATTTAGGTTCTATTAGTAAACATGATTCTGATCACACAACCCCCAAGGCTTGAGAGACTGACCTGATGCCTGAGCAACAACATCCACACTGCTACTTTTAGGGCACTAGCTCGAGCCCTGCCAACGTGAGTCTATCTACCTGGATTGGGAGACTCGCTCCCAGTTGCAGTGTAGACATACCCTATATCCTTGTCTGTGGCCCTACCTACAGGACGGATAGAACCATTGTTGTATAATCAGGACCTGACCTAGTTAGAGCAAACATTTCATATCCAGAATTTCTCCCAGCACCTCCATATGTCAACTGTGTTTGCAAGACACCTTCCATGCTGCATAACCATTTTTTTATCAGTAAAGTCTAGGAATATGTTACTCGTGGGGGAATTCTGCACAACTGTGCAGGTGCAGAATTCATATCATCCGCAGATTTCTTTGCTCCCCCACAGAAAATGAGAAAGCAAAGAAATCTGCAGGGGACACGCTCCCTTTCCCCTGTAGCCTGAGCACATCTCTTTGAGAGCCCGGAGCAACTAGCAGAGACATAAATCACTGCATGAAGGAGGGGTGGGCTGGGCGAGCATGCAAATGAGCAAGAGAGATTCTGTCCCTCTTGCTCACTATTGTGGGACGACCAGCGTGAAGGGGTAGGGCTTCAGGTTGTTTGGAGGTAGGCGTGAGGCAGGCTCTGTCCCCTGAGGCAGGGCAGAAATATAGCAGGCTATTGGGGAGTTGTTAACGTTCCTATTGTTAGTTAATTGTTCCCATTCTTAGTCAATTCCACCAGGAGTATAAAACACTTGTAAAAGTTTTAAGGCTCCTTTACATTGCCAAAGTGGTGAAAAGGAGCCTTGTTATAAATGACAGTAAGGGAATCCTCAGCCAGGAAGATCTATGTGCTTTCTCGCTTTTTTCCTGTGCCAGAGTGGCACAATGGGGTTAGATTTCAGCTCTATTACAGGATCTATTTTACTTACCCATTTAAAAAAAAATGAGGGCAAATAAAACATTTATCAATCAGTCAATATAATGTCAGGAAAATCAGAACCAAGCATTTTCCAAAGTAGTCAGCCAGGATTATAACTGGAATACATGGTATTGATTACCAAGTGCTGTAACTTAACTTTCATGTGTTTAGGAAAAGCTGAACAGTTATTGTGACTTTTTTCTATATTGTAATTTAAATAAATTACCAGAATAATTTGAACGGGTGTGATTATACTGCATTATTTTGATAAGTAAAATATGCAGAATTTTGCAGAATTTTTAATTTTTGGCACAGAATTTTTAGGCACAGAATTCCCCCAGGAGTAATATATGGTCAGTCTTCTTCAGCAGCAGCAATCAGTGTATTTCAAGATGAATCACTACTGCTGCCAAAGATACTGGAATATTTTACACAGAAACCAGAAATGCTGAACAATTTAAACTAGTCCACGATTTCCTGATAACGTCGGAAGCAAAGCCCCAAGGGATAGCTGGTGTAGAAGTGAACATGCACACAGAGTCATCTCTGCAGCTATGAATATCCTTGCCTTCATAGTGACTGGGGAGGCAGGAGCAGCAACCAACCACACAGAAGGCGGCAGTGGTTACAGCAACACAGTTTGATGGTTCTGCCTACACAGTAAACAACTGCTAGACCTGGTTACACCAAGACAATCATGCTATACCTCTACCACTGGTAACGGTCAGACACAGTACTCTGGCATGTTTAGGATAACTAATCATGTTTAAGGCTACGATTTAGTCACGGGTATTTTTAGTAAAAGTCATGGACATGTCACGGGCAATAAACAAAAATTCACGGCCCATGACTTGTACTATGTACCCCTGACTAAATATTAGCCGGGCGAGGGGTGGGAGCCACTGCTCTGGGAGGGTCCGTGGAGCCTTTTGCGGGGCAGCGGCACCAACTGCCGGGGGCCACCGAGCAGTGGCTGCTTGGGCTACCCCCAGGGCCGCCGACCCGCCGTCCCCAGGACCGCTGCTCAGGTAGTCCATGGGGCCAGCCACATAGGCCACTGCTTGGGCGGTCCCTGGGGCCAGCTGCCTGGGGCCACCCGCTCAGCGGCCGGTGCAGCTGCCCCGGGACCGCTCCAGCAGCACCAGTGTGGCTGGCTGTGGGGCTGCCCACCTGCCACTGTTCCCGCCACTCCTGGGACCACTGCTCAGGCAGTCCCAGGCCCAGCCGCACTGGCCGCTGCTAGAGCGGTCCCCAGGGCCCGCTGCTTGGGCGGCCCTGGGATGAGCCACACTGGCCGCTGCAGAAGTCACGGAGGTCACAGAAAGTCACGGAATCCGTGACTTCTACAACCACCGTGACAGACATGGAGCCCTAACCGTATTGTATATGGACAAGAGAAACATTTGGAAGCAACCATCTCTCAACCTGGTTTCAAACACAGTTAAAAAATTGTAAAGTAGATACTAACTACAATACTGACAAAAAAACAATTTAACTACTGTCCTTCAGTATGGTTTAAATTTGACCATAGCTGAACTAAATTCTAACCAGTTTGGTCAGCACCACTGAAAAGTGTTAAAAATTCATACATTTGCCAACATTCTAAATTTGGGTCTACGCATGCAGACTGGACAAGCCTGTGCTAAAAGCTTTTATGGCCACAGGTAAGGTTAAAGTGGTTTAACCACATTTATACTCCATTTTTTTGCCTTGTATCATGGGTCTAAACATTAACCAGTCAGAGAAGAAATGTAAAGTTATTGGGCCTGATTCTCATTTATGCTAATGCCCTTTTAAACTACTCTTGTAATGTAGAGAGAGGCCTTAAAGTCAACATATTTTAAGGCTCCTGAACATTGCCAAACTAGCATAAAGACACATTTGTGTGAATAATAATCAGGACCGTAGTGTTCTTTCCTTGCTAATAGATAAGCCAGGGAAGAGCACGAGAAAAGCCATGTATGGAATTCTCTCAATCTTAAACAACTGGGGACAGACCTCCACATATAGAACTCTGGAAATCAGACAAGGGGTGGGAAACTAAAGTTCACCCACTACCATGCCCAGACAATTAAAAAAAGCAATATTTGCCTATTTTCAGAATCAGTCCAGTAGCAAACAAGCCAAAGACCCCATCAGCTCCCTCACCCATATGCATGTAGGAAGTGTTACTGCATCCTATAGCTGAAGTAACTCATATTTGTATACACTTCAAAAATTAACTTTGGGAACAAAATTCTCAGTAATAGTGTTAGCTGAACACAGTTTGTCCTTTATTATACTTACAATTAACCGCTGTTCAGCTCCGCCTCAGCTAATAATATTGTTAACATCCATGTTCACAATCAAATTTCATACTACAGATCATGTTTCATGGCTTTTAGTGTTCAAAACATCTTAGGGATATTGAGTTAAGATTATTTGCATTATGTCTACATCACCTAGGTGGTAGAGCAACTTGTGACTACGTGTATGCATGCATGCACATGCATGGAATAGAAAAAAATATTCTTTTTAAAATATAAAAATTTACCACTGAGCAACACACATTTTCTGTACCAATTTAACTCTTTTGGTTAGGGGTGTGATTTTAAAGCAATATACTTCAAGTGGTACAATCCCTAGTGTGGGCCCAGTTACTCTGGTATAAAGATGCTTATACCCGGGAAATAAGCTGTACTGGTATAAGCACCTTTATCTCAGTATAACTAGAGGATTGTGTCACTTTCATTCTAACTGTTTCTAAACCAATATAGTTACAGCAGTACAATAACTGTGTATAGACAATCCCTTAGATTCTTGGAAAACTAATATAACTAATGCACTCATAACAATAAAATATCCTGACAAATAATTTAATTGTAGAGTTTTTCATTGTAGACAGCCTGATATCCAAAATTATCAGGACTAGACATAATTAGCGATACAAAACAATGAGTACAGTCTTAATGATATTTGACTTCTTGCCAGCTGGAAATGTGGAAAGTGAGACATGATTAAAAACTTTAGAGACATGCTTCAGCAGTTCTAGATTAAGATTTTGAGATTATTGTGCATTTACAATTCTGCCTTGAGAATTTCTAAAATCAATATAGGAAATCATGATAAATAAGATCATTTCAAACTCTATGTAGTGTCACTAAAAATCTTTTGTAATCTTTCTATGAATGATGCTGCATAAAGTGAAAATGTATTACAATTGATCCTGCAATGAGACTTTAGAATAGGAGTGAATCCAATATTTAAAATAGTCTTATTGGGACTATTAAAGCCATTACTAAAGTTACTGACACATGGATTTGCCCCAAACTAAATGATACTTTGATTCTGACTGCTGAAATGTTAAAGACTCATAGACTTTAAGGTCAGAAGGGACCATCATGATCATCTAGTCTAATCTCCTGCACATTGCAGGCCACAGAACCTCACCCACCCACTCCTGTAATAGACCTCTAACCTCTGACTGAGTTACTAAAGTCTTCAAAAAATGATTTAAAGACTTCAAGTTAAGAGAGCATCCACCATTTACACTAGTTTAAACTTGCAAGTGACCCGTGCCCCATGCTGCAGAGGAAGGCAAAAACCCCCACGGTCTCCACTAATCTGACCCGGGGGAAATTCCGTCCCGACGCCAAATATGGCTATCAGTTAAATCCTGAGCATGTGGACTAAACAAAGAAACGGCTTGAACTTTGAGAAACTTTGAGTTCTAGCACAATCTGAAGTTCTAAATGTGTTTTGTCAAACAATGAAACTTTTTGTTATATTTAAAGCTTACCTGATAACATAGGTCCTAAACGGTATAATGTGCTGCATGACAGCAGGGATGTGTAGCCATATCCTGATCTATAAAGCAAATACAAAAATAGATAAACTGTAATTATATAAATTTATGCAGAACAAATAAAATGTAAAGGCCAGTAATAAGGTTTAAAAATGCAAAACTCTGTCTAAAGAAATAAGGCTTTCGGGTTGTTGGCTTTAAGTGAACTTGTGTAACTTCTAATCAGATTTTTCCAATTTTCAAAAGTATAGTCTGGAGCAACTTTCTACAGCTAATAAATTAACCCAGATCCAGAGTCACATTTTTTTCTGCTAATCAACAGGAAAAATAAGATAAAAATTAGTGTAAACAAACAACATACACTGCTCTGCCTTAATGTCTTTCATTTCTGAACTTTGTATTCCCTCCTGTTTCTTCAACCTAATGCATTCTACAGCTCCTATCCTGCCCTCCATTCGTAATTGATTTTTTGTCTTCTAAGGGGTCTACAAGAAGATTACATCCTTTTTGGCCATGTTGATCATACCCATTTATTTGAGTTTTGTGGAAGATTTGATACTTTGGGCTCATCCACATTACGACTACAATTGTGATTTTGTTGCCAGTTAGAGGCATGACCATCTTACCCAGTTAAATGCAACATGGCTCAGAGCAGCTTTTCTGCCATCATGTTTGCACATCCATATTTAGCAGGCTGCTAACCTTATTTGTATCAATGCATTCTGGGGAAAACCAAAGCAACTATCTCATACTCCCTCTGCCAAGGACTGGGATGCCCAAAAGACAGATATACAGAATGTGTGAGAAGTAATACACTCTGGGATGCCCCACTGCAAACGAGTTGAATTCACACTACCCTTCACTATCCACCTATCCCCAAAGTCATTAGTCCACCCTTTGAGAGGCAACCCACTGTTATGGAGTTAGTGCGAGAGGCTGGCCCTACTCACGATCCTCACTCTACCCTTAACTCCTCCTCCTCCAGCATCCCAGCCACATCCATGAATATGTACATGTCTGTATCGGAAGGGGTAGGCAAAGCCACATCATTTCTGATATTGGCACACCTTCAGGGAAAGAGCTGATCTACACGTCTGTGCTCTCTTCCTCACAATATCAATTCCTGGAAACCCCCTGCAATCCCCAGTGCACTTTTCAGTAAGAGAAAAAAATGTGTATCCTGCATTTCTGAAAGCAGAAATTGAACATCCAAGCAATGAGGCAAACAGGAGCTCTAACCTTACAGCACTTCACCCTGAGGTACTGCACAACAGTAATATCAGATGTATTTCAACTCACTGGCCTCTTTCTCTTCCACCATGCCGGACCACATCACTTGGATCTGGCAGTAGCTCCCTACTGTAGTCATTGCTGACTCACTCGTGAAGCACTGTGCGCAGCCCCACAAAGTGCAGTAGTGTAGATGAAAAGATTAAAGAGGACTTCTAAATCAAATGTCCTACTCGGGACATCTTTGCACAGGATGAACCAGCTCTGAAAACATCGCTCAATGTGCAGTAGCAGTCAAAAAAGCTAACAGAATGTTAGGAACCATTAAGAAAGGAATAGATAATAAAACAGAAAATATCATAACACCATTATATAAATCCATGGTATGCCGACACCTTAAATACCATGTGCAGTTCTGGTCGCCCCCATCTCATAAAAGGCATATTAGAATTAAAAAAGATGCAGAGAAGGCCAAAGAAAATAATTAGGGGTATGGAACAGCTTCCATATGAGGAGAGATCAAAAAGACTGGAACTGTGTTCAGCTTAGAAAAGAGACAACTAAGGGGGGATGAGACAGACGTCTTTAAAATCAAGAATGGCGTGGAGAAAGTGAATAGGGAAGTGTTATTTACCCCTTCACATAATACAAGAACTAGGGGTCACCCAATGAAATTAATAGGCAGCAGCTTTAAAACAAACAAAAGGAAGTACTTCTTCACACAACACACAGTCAACCTGTGGAACTTGTTGCCATGGGATGTTGTGAAGGCCAAAAGTATAACTGGCTCAAAAAAGAATTACGTAAGTTCATGGCAGGTAAGTCCATCAATGGCTATTAACCAAGATGATCTGGGATGCCACTCCATGCTTTAGGTGTCCCTAAACATCCAACTGCCAGAAGCTGGGACTGAGTGACAGAGAAAGGATCACTCTAAGTTGCCCTGTTCTGTTTATTCCCTCTAAAACATCTGGTACTGGTCATTGTCAGAAGACAGGATACTAGGCTAGATGGATCATTGGTCTGACCCAGTATGGCTGTTTTTATATCGTTAATTTTTAACTAATGCCCTTAAGAATAGATTGGATTTTATTGCCTTGAAAACTAAAATGTTCACAAGTTAATGATGGGTATATCCCTTGTGAATCCTTAGTTATATTTGATCTGTTTTCCATACAGAGGAACATGAACCAGACAATTTTCAAAAATTTCCAAAGGGAGACATTTTTTATTGCCTTCACCTGAAAAAAAACTACTTGCTGGATTTCCTTGAAATGTTCAGAAAAAAATGAAATTGCCATTGTGAATTAACTGTAAAATTTGGAAGCAGAATCCTTTATTTTAAATATACAAGGATGGTGGTGACCAAAATGTTTATTATGAGACTCTTATTGCTGCCTACTTACAACAGCTTTCCAGCGACCCTGTGGCACCTGAGAGTAACAGGAATATGGGAGAGGAGAACACCCAGGATCTAATCCAAAGTACCATATATACTCGTTCATAAGCCGAATATTTTTGGTAAAAAAATGACTCATCAAAGAGTGGGGGTTGGCTTGTAAACGGGTCTACACTAAAATTTGATGATTTTAAACTCTATGGAATCATTTAATTAAATATCTAATACATTGCCGTTTTGTTACCTGGAGCGCCTCAACTCCCTGTGGCCACAGTTCGCCGTTCCCAGCAAATGGGAGCTGTGGGAAATGGCGCACCACTTCCCGCAGCTCCCATTTGGCTGGGAACGGCGAACCGTGGCCACAGGGAGCTGAGGGGCTCCATGCCTGCAGACACTCCAAGTAAACAAAACGTCCCGACCCGCCAGTGGCTTACCCTGATGGCCAGGAGCCAAAGTTTGCCAACCCCTGAAATACAGGGTTGGCTTATGAAAGGGTCATGCAGTTTTTGCTATTTTTACCTAACTATCTTGGGGGGGTCGGCTTATAAACGAACGGGCTAATGAACAAGTATATACGGTATTTAATATTGGAATCAAATCATAGAGTGTAATTATACAGCATTTCATTTTAGTTACACTCATTAAGTATTTACAGTTAAACTTAATGGGCAAAATTCTGTCTTCCTTTACATCCATGTTCCTGAGCAAGATATCCCCTCCCATCCTCATGCCACTCCCTTTAACTCCCTCTACCAGAGTCTTCCAGTTCTTGCCAGCAGTGACCAAGGGATACCTTCCTAGCCTAGTTTCGCTGCAACCAGAATGTCTGGGAAGAGAAGGAAAAACAAGATATCCTACAGATGCCACTATTCCTCCAACAGATCTCAGGGTAACGACTGGGGTGAAATGTTGCCCCTGCTGGACAGGGCAATCCCCAGACACCCTTCTCTCTCTGAGGGGAAAATTGTGACTTTTTCCTGATTCCAGGGCTCTCTTCTTCAAATTTTCCCAGACTTAGTCTATCCCACTTTATATTTGTTGCATTTTGGTTTAAAAACGTAACCAACTCAGGGCAATACTTACATTAGATACCACTGTGATAAATGCATGTGCTATAAGAAATGGCAATGTATCAGGGGTTCCATGTTCAAAACAATCCTTCATGAGGGAAAGGCCATTTTTTCCACAAAATAGACAAACATAACGAAGCAAGTGCAATGGTACTTCTACATCCTATAGAAAAAGAATATAAAAGTTTTATTTAAAAAGAAAAACAAATTACTATTGAAAACAAAAAACTAAATACATATAAGGTAAGAGTTCAGATGAGCAATATCAATGTATCATACGTTTATAAAACAATAAATATGATGATTTTACAGTCACCGAAAACATGTCAATTGTATCTCATAATGCTCTCTATAAATACAACAGACGGATAAACACCAAAGAAGGGAGAGAAGTTATTTAAGTTAAGGGACAACGTTGGCACAAGAACAAATGGATATAAACTAGTCATCAATAAGTTTAGGCCTGAAATTAGATGAAGGTTTCTAACCATCAGAGGAGTGAAGTTCTGGAACAGCCTTCCAGGGGAGTAGTGCAGGGGGAAAAAATCTAACTTATTTCAAAACTGAGCTTGATAAGTTTATGGAGGGGATGGTATGATAAGATTGCCTACAATAGCATATGGCCCATCCATGACTGCTATTAGCAAATATCTCCCACGGCCTCAGATGGGACACTAGATGAGGAGGGCTTTGAGTTACTACAGAGAATTCTTTCCCAAATGTCTGGCTGGTGGGTCATACCCACATGCTCAAGGTTTAACTGATCACCATATTTGGAGTTGGGAAGAAATTTTCCCCCAGGTCAGATAGGCAGAGACCCTGGAGGGCTTTCACTTGCTCCGCAGCATGGGGCACTGGTGGATTCTTTGTAATGTGACATCTTTAAATCAAGATTTGACGATTTCAGTAACTCAACTAGAGATTATGGAGGTATTACAGGAGCGGGTAGGTGAGGTTTTGTAGCCTGTGATGTGCAGGAGGTCAGACTAGATGATCATGATAATTTTGATCGCTTCAGGCCTTAAAGTCTATGAATCAATGAAATATATATGACTTACATTCATATCACAGAACGCCCCTAATATATTGCTTTCTTGGGCAGAAATATCCTGGTTTAAAAGAAAAGAGAGATAAATATAATTAGCTAACAGTAGGAATAGAAACAAATTGTATGAAGGTAACAAAACCAAAAGACTCATGATGCACACTCCAGAAACCTAATTTTATAAAACTCAAGCAGCTTAAGTTTGTTTAATTTTAAAAATTGCCACACTGACTTCTGCATTATCCGATTAAACTATTTTTTTTAATTGTATTTACAAATATGTACTTATAAACTCAGGACAATGCTCCAGCCATAAGGGGAAATTTCTTACCTAATAGTTTTCCTTCTTGGAGTTCTTCTATACCAATTCAGATGTTTTCATTACCAGCAGGAAAGTAATGTACCCAAACATCTGAACTGCCATAGGTAAATGAACAGAGAATATACCGTACAATCATAAACCTAATGAATATTCAAGAGCTAAAAAATTTAAAGTTAGTCATTCTAGTTCAGTTTATTAAACTTCTTCAAGTCCAATTGTAACATTCTTACACAAATATCTAATTGACAGCTTGTAGAACCTATATCTGGTATCCTTAAAGGGAAACTGTCAAATTACAAATCATCCTTCTCTCAATTTTTAAATCTATTATTGTTGCAAGTAACACTTAAGATTACTATAACTAAAGAATTTAATAACTTCTTTTAATATGTTTACATTGCGCACTGGATAGCATTTTGTAGACAGTCTATTTTACTGTTCCCCCTATTAAATCAATTTCCCATATTGTTTTTATGAATCTTTCACACAGCAAGAAAACATTTTTAAAAATTGTAAAATGTGATTGTGAAACCAAAAAACTTACTGAAACACTATCAAACTAATTTTTACTTTAAAAAAAAAAATTACTAGTTTTCATGTTCACGATTTCCCTTTAAATTTGGGGGATGGGGGAGGGGAGCGAAGGGTAGGTTTTTAAATATTTAATTTAACTGAAGTTTTTGGAGTTAATTTCAAATTGACTAATTTCCAGAGTATCATTTAAAACTACATTACTGGGGGTATTTTAGCTGTGATGGAATCAAACTTTAAGTTATTCACTAAGGTTACAATATAGGAATCTAAACATACTACATATTTCCCCTTCACGTTGAACTCCAAATCATCACTCAACAGTGTTCTTTGTCAATTATTTTTAAGTATTAAAACACATTTTTCTGGCCAATAGATAAGAAAAAGGGTGTTTCTGTGCTCTGCCCATGCCACTACCAGAAACAGATTATGCATGGGAAAATTATCAGTTGTTGAGGGAAATAGAAACTGTTCATCAGTTAAAGTACTGCTCTTAGCACCTGGCAGCTGAAAGACAGTGGAAGTCTATGATTATTAAGCCTGTAGAGTTTAGTGATATTCTGGCTAAGAGAGGTGAAAACATTATCTACTATCTGGAATGTCAAGTAGCTGCTTTGCATACTTGTCTCAAGACTTCTCTTCCTATGAAGTAGCCATATTGGAGTAAACACTGACAACAATGGGGCAAGAGATCTCTGCAGCATTGGAGAGACAAAAGATTTGACTTACTTGGCTAGAATGAACCTGAAAACCTGACAGTCCTGCTATGGTGTTCTAAACGGAATACTCAGGACATTGAGATTTCCACAAGGTCACCTTTTGAGCCAAGTAACAGAAGACAGTTCCCTATGAGAACCAAAGGCGGCAAAAAAACCTTAGAGGTGAAACACCTTAATTGATGTGTGATGGTGGACACAACCTTGGGAACAAAACTATAAAAAATTCATCCTACTAGAAAAAGACTTATATGGGAACTGCCACCACAGCTGCTAATTGCCTCATTCTGAGCCAAAATGTTGGGAGAGCATAAAAATAAAGTAGACAGATGCCTTTCCTCACTGTTTTAACCTCTACTGAGCTGCTAAAGACTGGTTTGCTAACTCCTTTAAAGTTCATTGTCTAGTCCTGCCTGGAGGGATTTTTAAAGGTAAGGAAAACAGGAGCTCACTTTGTGGTTTTGCCTCTTCTTCTACATGGTTTACAGAAAGTCATCACTTCCAGTAAAATGAAAAAATGCCTTTCTAGACAGAAGCATATCCTGTACTTTCTGAAATACCTATCTCACAGACTCTCTGCATATCTCAGTCTGAATAAACAAATAGTGCTGACAGAAGGTCATGGATGCAGGAAAATTAAAATTAACAGATGTCTCAGACAGCCACACCAGGCCTGCAGACCTCATGCATCTCAACCATTTCAGGGATCTCCGGATTACCCTTGTTTGGGTCTTGTGATTTTTTTGAAGTATTTTTGCTGTCAAAATTGTCAGTCCCATGAACAGCATATGCAAGACTGAATGTCTATATGATAAAAAAGTGTCACGAGCTAAGACCTCTCTTTGGATATCAAGAACGTTAGCAGATATTACTTTTGCATTGGGATAATCAGGTTTGTTTCCACATAAGTTTCTTCCTTCAAGATTTATGCCCTCAAGCGGGTTTTCTTCCAACTGACCAAGTCCAATTGTGGTATTCTTGTGTCTGAAGACACACAAAGATTCACTAGAAAGGAGATTTTTCCCTCTGATTAGCAGGGTAGACTCTTGTATCATCATTCTGTTTTTGTGGTCCCTGTGGATTTTAAACAGACCACGACCACAAACTTGTCTGAACTAAGGTGTACTTGTCTTGTCCAGAGGTCTTATTGCCCTCAAATCCAACAAATGTATATGCCAGTTCTTTGTCCTGGAAGGCCAGGTCCTCTGTGCTGTCAATATGCCTATGGGGGCTCCCAGTATTCTGGGCTGGCATTCATCGTCAGCTGCACCCTTTCTGGTTCCTAAATGAAATTTTCCTTCAGGATGTTTTCTCTGTTCAGCTCACATAACTCTCATTAGTCTCTTCCAGTTTTACCTCTATGTTTGCTATAATAGAGATGAATGCTGCTATTAAAAAAAATTCAAGGGGTAGAAACGTCCCCTAACCTATGGGATTTAGGGCAGGACAGTAGAGTCCCCAGTAGGCTTATACACCAACAGATCATCTTTTTTCTTGTTTTCTTGTTCTTGTTAGATATTGCAGTTTTGTGACCCTTTCTGACAGAAGGGAATTCTCCCCATTAGAAATCTCTCTTCTCCCAGATGTGTGAGTATCTGCAAAGGTTCCATCAAGTACATGGTAAGAGCATCAGTTTATACCTGATACAGAACATTCTGAAGGACTGACCACACTTCACATTTCCCCATAAACCCACTGAAGGATTTAGTCATTATCATTATTATATTATGGTAGAAATCAAAATGTGCTAGAAGATTTCCAAACACAGATATATCAATCCTTGCTCTGAAGAAATTACAAATTTGATATGAGAAACTAGCTGAAAGCGGGAATCATTTTTTCTGACTTGTCTAGACAGCAAAATAAGTTTTCTTCTCTCTCGTCTCTCTCTCCAGACCACGATTTTGATATATTCGTGGCATAATAGTGTTTGTTAATCTGAGTGGTCAGTGACTCAAGATGTCATATTGTTGAGAGTACTGGTGAGCCACAATGCAGCCACCAAACTTATGTTAGCGGCTGGTCTTCTTACACTATGTCAGCACATCAGCCAAAAAAATACTGCCAATGTCCTTTTTGAGATTTCTAACTCTTCATGGCACAATGACAAAAAATAAGACACACAAATATTTCCAAAAAGAAAAGAAGGTTGTTGTCTTCTCTCTAAGTGAAGCAAGTTTATTTATACATAAATTGATTCAGAGCTGTTTCTGCCATGTTCCTGTGAAGGCAGGGAGAAAAATTCAAGTTCAGTTTTTTTAACCCCATGAAGCACAGAGGCAAAATCCCTTTAGTTTTAACATTAGTTTTAACCAGTATGAACGACAAAAAGATAGACCTGCCCTCACTGGTCTCTACTAGTGGGCAGCTGTATCGCAGACCTATTTATTTATGATAATAAAGTTTAAAAGGAATTATGAAGGCATGCTGAAATGTGGTAGGAAAGTCTTACTGGAATCCTAACATTCTCTGGTTCATTAATAGAGATATACTTGAGATCACATATATTTGTAAACACAGTTTGACATTTTAATTTACAGATTTATACTCCAACATGATCGAATATAGCAAGATACTCAAATATGCCCCAAACAAAACAAAAACCACTCATCTTCCCAGTTTAATAATTTTTAACTAAACCAACATTTATTGCCAATTCTGGTGAGATCCACTCATTCAAGGACTGAATATAATTCATGCAAACACACTAGCACGTATGCTAAATCACATATCATTTACGTATATCTTTACAAGTTAAGAGCAAATAGTGTAATAATGTGAAACCGAAAGCTTAACTACTCAAAGCAGTGACACAGCTTTAAGTTTGTGGTTTTGGATAATTGTATTTTAATGCGCCAATATTTTGTAACATCCACATAAATGTATTAACGGCTTCTCATGCATTTTCTCAGTATAAGCTTTCTTAACAACGGCAAATATACTCATATCTCAGTATATAAGTGTAGAAGGTGCTCTGTTTAGTCAGGAACAGATTTCCACAGGTGAAACTAAAAATAAACCTTTTCAAGAACAAAATTATTTTAATTTGACATCTAGGGTCCCCAATATAGCTACAAAAGCATTTCCTCTATATCTGGGAATGAAAAGTTTGTAAAAGAAGAGTTCTGAGGGTGCATTTTTCAAAATAAATTATGTAAAAATATATATATTTAGCAGTAACAAAGTAACATCACAATGAAAAACTTATAAAGACAGTAGTCAAGTTTGCAGAACTGCAATTATAACAGTTATTCAGTTGATTATAGAACAGCAAAAAGTGTGGTCTCATGCAAGTTTTAGTTTGTAAATTTTGTTTATAACAACAGATTTAAACAAAAAGCAATTAAACTACATTATATTATTTTTGGAAGGAAGCCGTAATTATGGTTCCTTTTTGCCTTCCTGCTACTGTGACTATATGGTAACTTAAATTATGCAATTATATCCAACATTTTATTAACTGCTTTTACCTAGACCAATCAAGAATTCTTTTAAGAACGTATTTAAGGGAGTGGCTCATCTCCCAGAAAGTGTCAATGGAAAGACCCAGTGAATTCAGTGGGAAAGCTGAATCATCCCCATCCACCCTGTTTGAAAACTACAGCCACCCAAGCAGAGTCTACCCTTCAATGATAACTGCACTGTGTTTCACAAAAAAACAAAATATGCACAAGTTAGGATAAGATATACCTCTATTGTGGGATGAGTATTATGCTTGTAAGCAGTATACAGAGGAAACTGAATCTGAAAGATTTTTGCCACACACAGCAACAGTTTTTCCTTCTCATCAGTGCTCCATAAGCTAAAAGCATCAGTGCTCTTTGCAGATTCTTCCTCTGTCAGGATACAAGTTCTTGCGGAGTCTAACTTTTTCTCTATGCATTTTTGTCGTTCTCCATTTTCTTCTTCATGAGACTCTCTTTCTACATTCAGTGGCTCATTGGCTTGATTATTCTGATCTTGCCATGTTGAATCTATGTTAATAGTGCAATGTTTACAGAGCTGGTCCCGTAGAGCTTGAACTTGGGCAATCACTAAGTTAATAAGCGCACATACTACTTGGTTAAAGATCTCCAAATGCTTATACTCCTTGAAGCAGCACAGACATTGTCTGCAAACAAAAACAAAATAAAAAAGTGAAAATTCCTGGAGTGGCTCAGAATTAAAATATCTAAAAATGAGAAGTTTGGACTCCATCAACTTAAAGAAGAAACTAATAAATAGTAAGAAAAAAAGACTGATCTTAATTTTTAAAAAGTGACTAATTATAAGGAAGTTTCACATTTAAATATATTTTAAGTAACATAGCATATGACAGACCAACAAAGACAGGAAATGCAAAGTGACACTGAAACTCCAATGTCAAACACCAATACTGAAGACCTCATTAATCCCTGTGGGCATCCCATTTATTTCCAGACGCTCACAGAGAACTACATGGTCCCAACTACTGTTCGGGAGTTTTAAATTATTTATGTATTTTATAATGGTAGCTATGGACTGCATGTGTTCATCTTGTTGAGTCACAACACCAAGATATTGTGAAAAAATCCTCATAAGACACTTTTCAGAGTGGGTTCTAGCCCATGAAAGTTTATGCCCAAATAAATTTGTTAGTCTCTAAGGTGCCACAAGGACTCCTCGTTGTTTTTTCATAAGACACTGAAATTCAAAGTAATAATTCTTGATTTTCCCCCCATTCTCTTTAGAAAAAAAAATGTATGTGGCAGGATAGTTCACATTAAGCAACAGCATATGTAAGGTTTTATAATATTTTCCATTACTATCATTTAGCCTGTTTACTGCTATGTTCTTCAACAGCTTCTGGAATGCCAGCCAGTGCTTCAAAGGTGTGTTCTACACACACACCTTGCAGGAGAAATGGGGCACAAAAGTGGCTACATGTAAATGAAGGCCAGAATTTCCTTTATTCTCCCATCATTTTAGTCACACTACAATATTGTACTCACTCTACTTATTCCATTCACTCTATTTCCCGCATAATTTTTACAACAAATGGGGTCCAATATGATGAGTTTAAAGACACTGACGAAAATACCTTTGCGTCCAGGAGTTGATATAAGCAAATATCTTGAGTGCATGTTCCTTTCGGAGCTGCAATCCATCACCACCTTCGATGTCAGATACTGAAGAAAAACAGTAAGTCGTTAATGGCATATGTAATATTTAATGTGACTTTTAACTGCTACATTAAACATAAAATATCAAACATAAATTTTGTTCCTAAAGGACCGAATTAGAAAAATCAGACTTAGAATAGGAACTGCATTGCTAGCCAGAATACAGTAACATAATATTGCAGAGGTTTTTCCAGCACAAAACTCTTGGATCACCACACTTACCTTCATAGATCCAATAATCTCCCCAACACCAAGAAATCTGTTATCTACAGCCAGGCACTCAGATACCACAGAATATGCTCTGAGGAGAAAGTCCAGAGTATACATTTTACACATTCAAAAACAGCCTATATCAAATTAGGACACTCCATCAGAGAAGTAGATCACATCACGGAGTGGGCCACCCAAATATCCCAAGAGAACCTGCCTCAATACAGAAATAAAACCCTCTCCTGCCAAACACCCCTAGTTGTCACCTACCACCCCACACTGGAATCTATACGGGGCATCATCAAACAACTACGACTCGCACTCAGTGGGGCCCCATCCTGAAATAACTCTTTCCTGAACTCCCTTTTCTGGCCTTCAAACACCCCCCAACGTCTCCAAGCTCATCATCAGAAGCAGGCTCCCCTCAGACCAGGACACACCAACTCAAAGCAGCACCAGACCGTGCCAGAACAACAGATGCAAAACCTGCAGACATATCTCCACTGTTACAATGATCCATACCGCCACCCAACACACCTTTCAAAATCCATGGGTCCTACACTTGCCTATCACATGTGGTGTGCCTCACCCAGTGCACTACATGCCCCCATAACAACTATGTGGGTGAAACCAGATGATCACTAAACTTTCAAATGAACTCACACAGGAAAATAATAAAAGACAAAAACACACTGGCTTTGTCTACACTACCAATTGAACGACAAAACTTTTGTCGTTCACAGGTGCTTAAAGAACCGTGTCCCACCCAACCAAGACAAAAGTTTTGCCGCGTCAAGTGGCAGTGTAAACAGCTCGTTGTTGGCAGGAGCGCTCTCCTGTTGAGAACAAGAACCCCGCTCATACACAGTGGAAGTATTTTGTCGGCAAAAGTGGTGACAAACAGCGTTTACACTGACCGACTATTAGCGACACGGTCGTGTCGACATGGCCGTGTCGCTAAAAACTGTGTAATGTAGACAAAGCCACTATCACCTCTAGGGTGCACACTTCTTGCAAAGCAATCATTCCATATTTGACCTACCAGTCTTCATCCTCAAAGGAAACCTGCACAACACTTTCACAAGAGGAGCCTGGGAGTATAAATTTAGAACTTTGCTAGAGACTAAAAATCATGGTCTTAATAAAGGCACTGGATTTACGGTTTATTACAACAATCTGTAACCCACTAACCCCCCTTTTTGTCCTATGACTACAGGGGTGTTAATGAGCCACTTCGCCTTGAACGGTCCCTTAGAATATGTGTTAACTACTTATGCTAAACTATCTGTTCAATCTTGTATTTAGCTGTGACACTCTAGGCCTTGACTACACTGGCAAGTTTCTGCACAGTAAAGCAGCTTTCTGAGCTGTAACTTCTGAGGTGTACACACTGCCAAGCCACTTAGTGCGCAGAAATTGCACAGTTGCAACGCTGTTAAAAAAAAAAAAAAACACGCCGATGAGAGGCGTACAGCTTTCTGCGCTGGGGCTACAGCACAGTGGCATAGCCAGGTGGAGGGAACAGGGGAAGCAATAAAAAAAAAAAAAATGTGGGCGCCTTCCTCTGCACAACTTTTACTCCCCCGGCGGTGCTCCGGGTCTTCGGCGGCGGGCCCTTCACTCGCTCCGGGTCTTCGGCGGCACTGAAGGTCCCGCCGCCGAAATGTCGCCGAAGACCCGGAGCGAGTGAAGGTCCCGCCACCGAAGTGCCGCCGAAGACCCGGAGCGCCGCCAGGTGAGCAAAATAAAAGCGCCACAGCGCATGGCGCTTTTTTTTTTTTTTTTTTTTACAAAGGCGCCAGGAAATTGACATGGCGCCACTTGTGCTCAGTGGGGGAGCGGCCGCTCCCCACCAGCTACACTACTGCTACAGCACCGTGGTGCCAGTTTAGACACCCTGGTCCATTACAGCACTGCAATTGGCCTTCGGGAGGTGTCCCACAATGCCTGCTCTCACCTCTCTGGTCATCAGTTTGAACTCTACTGCCCTGCCCTCAGGTGACCAACCGTAAGCCCCATCTCTTAAATTCCTTAGGAATTTTGAAAGTCCCCTTCGTGTTTGCTTGGTGATGCGTGCAGTGGTCTCAGCGCATCTTTCCAGGTGACCATGCCTGCTCCACGCACCAGGCCATCCCCCGTTTGGAGCAATGCCGAGCTACTGGACTTCATCAGCATTTGGGGAGAGGAGGCTGTTCAGTCCCAGCTGCGCTCCAGCCATAGGAATTATACCACCTACAGACAGATTTCACGATGCATGATAGAAAGGGGCCATGACTGGGACACACTGCAGTGCAGGCTCCAAGTGAAGGAGCTGCGGAACGCCTACCACAAGGTGTGGGAGGAAAACCGCCGCTACGGTGCTGCGCCCACGAGCTGCTGGTTCTACAAAGAGCTGGAGACAATACTCGGTGGCGACCCCACCTCCACTGCAAAGGCCACTGTGGATACTTCGGTGGCTCGCATGCCAGTCAAGAGTGGACCGGACCAGGAGGAAATCTTTGACAACAATGTGGAGGGGGACCCAGAGGAAGACTCAGAGGTCAGAGATGCATGCAGCCAGGAGCTCTTCTCTATCCCAGAGGAGGCTAGCCAGTCACAGTTGTCGGAACTTGGTGAAGTGCAAAAGGAGAGGTCATCCCTGGTAAGTGGCTTTGATTCTGGGAATCGCTGAAGCGAGTTGTTGGGGGCAGGAAGGTTGCAGAAAGCAGGCTTGTGTCTGTATGATGTGCGCACCACCACATGCCTAGTTTGAGCAGTGGAACAGGGTGTTGATTGACTCCCTCACTTCATGGGAATCTGCCTCAGAGATCTCCATGAAACTCCCATGGAGATACTGGGGAATCCGCTGCTGCAGGTTCTTTGGCAGAGCTGCTTTGTTTCTTGCCCCATTAAGGGTAACTTTCCACGCCACTCTGCCGTCACGGGCGGGAGGGGAGGAGAGAAGGGACCATTGCTGCACACAGGCAAGCCACATAAGGGCCAGAGCAGAAGCTGCAGTCTTGGGGCTGGTCTACACCCAGCCGCTAGTTCGGCGGCTGGGGATCGAAGTTCTGGGTTCGACTTATCGCGTCTGGTCTGGATGCGATAAGTCGAACCAGGAAGTGCTCGCCGTCGACTGCGGTACTCCAGCTCGGCGAGAGGAGTACCGCGGAGTCGACGGGGAGCCTGCCTGCCGCGTGTGGACCGCGTCTGAACCGCGGTAAGTTCGAACTAAGGTATGTCGACTTCAGCTACGTTATTCACGTAGCTGAAGTTGCGTACCTTAGTTCGACTTGGGGGGTTAGTGTAGACCAGGCCTTAGAGAAGACCCTCCCTTGATTCCCTACTAACCCTCAGGAGCGAGATATCTTCCATAATGAACACAGTGTGTGGAAAATGTGGGGACAGTACTGATTATAAGACACACACACAGTGCTGGCTCTCCCCAAGAGCCACGTGCCCAGTGTACAGTACAGTCCTGGAACACTGATTTCCTCTGCCCCTGCGGGGGGTCTTGTGGCTCATGTGTGCTTGCTTGGGGTCAGCCAGTTAGTGATACGTATGTGAATAGCTGCTGTGTTTTAAATCACTGAATCAGTAGTCTGTGGCTATGGATACACTGGCGCTTTACAACGTTGCAACTTTCTCACTCAGGGGTGTGAAAAAATACCCCCCTGAGCGCAGCAAGTTACAGCACTGTAAAGCGCCAGTGTAAACAGTGCCCCAGCGCTGGGAGCCGCGCTCCCAGTTCTGTAAGCTAATCCCCTCATCGAGGTGGAGTACCTGCAGCGCTGGGAGAGCTCGCTCCCAGCGCTGGCGCACGACCACACTCGCACTTCAAAGCGCTGCTGCGGGAGCACTCCCGCGGCAGCGCTTTGAAGTTTCGAGTGTAGCCACGGCATGTGTGTTGCAAACAATACTACTTCTGTAAAATGTTGCATTTTGGCTTCACAGATATGACCTTGGGAGCCCAGCCTCCCTCTTTGTTATCGCCGACTGAACAGCTGCGCAGAATTAGAAAGCGGCCACAAAGAAATAAAGAGGACTTTCTGCGTGATGTCATAATGCACTCCGCGGCTGAAAAACAAGAATTGAAGGAGTGGCGGGACAGCGAGAGGAGGGCCCGAAAGGAGAACGCGGCACGCCAGAATGAAGCCATGGAGTGGCTCTTAAACGTTATGGAGCACCAAGTGGACACGCTCCAAGTGCTACTAGCAATGCAAACCGAGCAGCTCCATGCCTGCCCTCCCCTGCAGCCGCTGTCGCAAAACTCTTTCCCATGCGCCCCCCAGACACTGCCAACACATTCTTATCAACCTCCTGGCTCCAGTCTGTACCTGCTGCATTCCACTCTTCCCCCATCACAGTCCAGCACTGCAGACTCCCAGTACGCACTGCACTCAACACCCATCCCTCTGCAGTTTAGCCCTGCTGAAGTACAGTACCTCCTGCACTGTACTCCAAAGGAGAAGGTTGGAATGGATACCTGGACATACACAAATCTTTAATCGTCCTGGTACCCCACCTCCTCCTAGGACCTTCCCTTCCCCCATCCCTCTCAGTGCTGATGTGTTTGTCTCCCTCCTCTGGTTGTTGTTTTTTAATAAAATAATTATGTTGGTTTAAAAGCAATCTTTATTCCATTAATTGAAAGCAAACAAAGCCCTACAATGCAACAGGCAATTTTCTTAAACCTTCATAGTGCATCGTCTGCACCAATCACAATCACTTCCTAGCATTACAAGCACTGCACTCCCGAGCATAGCAACAAATATTAGTGGCTTTCAGCTTCAAATTGCTGCCTCAAGGCATCCCTG